ATATGGGGACCCCATTGCAATTTAGCATCTAACGTTATACCTAGAAATACAACTGTATCCACAAGATTCAATTTTTCGTTTCTAACTACAATGTTTGTAACCGTCTCTCTAACATTGGGTAATGTAAATTTCACACAATTTGTTTTTTTCTCATTAAGAAGTAGGTTATTAACAGCAAACCAATCAACTACTAGTTGATATAGCTTTGTTCACATCGTCATAGGAACATTGGTGCCTTTTAACTTTAAATAATAAGGAAGTATCATCAGCAAACAATACTATCTCATGTTTTATACCCTCCATAAGGCTAGGTAAATCATTAATATAAACTAAAAACAAAAATGGGCCTAGAATTGAACCTTGAGGGACACCCATGCTAATTACAGACCCTGACGATCTCGTACCGTTAACATCGACCCTCTGTACCCTACCACGCAAATACGATTTAAGAAGGTCGAGATCACGTCCCGCCACACCATAATGGCGAAGTTTCCTGACCAGTGTATCATGGTGCACACAATCAAAAGCTTTGGAAAGGTCACAGAATACACCAATAGCATCATGTGAGACTTCCCATGCATCAAATATATGATTAATCAACTCTACACCAGCGTCGGTTGTAGAGCGACCCCGAGTGAAACCAAATTGTTTAGGAGACATTAAATTATTACTATAAAAATGTGCACACATCTGATTTAGAATAATTTTTTCAAATATTTTACTGAGAGTTGGTAGTATTGATATAGGTCTGAAATTGGTGGGGTCAGAAATACTACCAGATTTGAAAAGTGGAATAACTTTACTTTGCTTCATGAGGTCAGGAAAGACACCATCATCAACACATTTATTAAAGACACAGGCTAAGTAAGGCGCAATACAATCAACTATAGAACTAATTACTCTGACTGAAAGACCATCAAGATCAGCAGTATTTTTTATATTTATAGACTTAAAGGCTTTAACAATATCGTTTGGAAATACATGACGGAACCTTAAATTAGTGATACTAACTGCATTATTTTCTTTTAGTAAGGATTCAGCGGCCGTGGGAGATGAATTTAACGAATTAGTAGTCAAAATTGGAATGTTGGTAAAAAAAATTTCAAATATTTTAGCAACTTCTGCGTCTGTGTTTACAATTTTGTCATTAAATCTTAGTTGAAAATCTAAGTTACGAGGTTTGACCCTTCCAGTTTCGCTATTTATAATATTCCAAGTCGTTTTTACTACATTCGCGCTGCTTTTTATTTTATTATTAATAAACATTGCTTTGGCTGCCACACAAACACGTTTAAACATTTTCGAATATTTCCTAACAAAATCATTAAAACTGTTACTAGTGTTATAAGTTCTTTCATCGTAAAGATCATACAGCCTTTGTCTACTTTTGTGAATTCCCACAGTCGCCCATTCACTAAATTTCAATGAATTATTAATAGTTATGATTTTGGACTTAAAAACATTATCACGTTCACTTTTCACTATGTTGAAAACTGAATTATACAATTTATTGGGATCGTTAACGTACGGAATGTCAGTTAGTTTAAGCATTACGTTATTTCTATAAGCTTTAAGTCGACCATTATTTATCGGAACACATGTGATATCCTTTTTCGGCATTTTGTCAACAGTTATATTAAAAGTGGCCAATTGACCGCAGTGATCTGAAGTTAATTTATTTATAATAGATTTATTACTAGGTACGGCGTTGGTATAAATGTTGTCTAAACAAGTGGCAGTAGTAGAAGTTATTCTAGTAGGCACCAAAAAAAGATTCACAAGGTTATAACATTGGAAAAATGATATGAGCCTACTGCTAGCACTGGAATCTTCTAATAAGTTAACATTGAAGTCACCACAAACAGCAATATATTTATTTATATTATTTAATTTGGCTAAAACTTCATCTAATCTTTTTTCAAATAGTTCGTAAGATGAATGAGGGGGTCTGTACACGCTTAATATAACAAGCCGTTCAAGCTCTATGCAGGATATCTCTATAGTCCGCTCAATAGATAGGCTCACAATATCTGTACGTTCTTTAAATTTTAAATTATTTTTAATAAGAATTAAAGAGCCGCCGTGAATAGCTTTTTCTCTGCTGAACGAACTAGCCACCTGGTGATTGTTGAAGCTAAACATGAACTGATGTTGTGATAGAAAGTGGTGTTCAGTAATACAAAGAATATCAATATTGTTACAGTTAATAAATAATTCTATTTCTAGCTCTTTGCCTTTCATGCCTTGAATATTTTGGTGCACCAGGTTTAATATAAAATTTATTTTATTTCTGTGTGTTTTAGGTTGGTTTCTTACTGTCAATGTGTTGCAAGAGTATCTCTCCGTTGTCTTATTAATTAATTTAAATAATTAGAAATTGAATTAATTTCAACAGAATTATTATTGTCAGTAAACTGACCTATGTCAACGGACTGCTCAATAGAAGCAGCCGGTCTGGTAGCCAATGATTTGGCTGAATTATTAATATAATATGATAGCATCTCTGCTATCTGTCTCCTAAAATAACTAGTAAGATAATACCTATCTTTAGTCAAATAAAAATATTTACTAATAAAATTATTAGTATCCATAAAATGAAATTTACTATAATGAAATGTCAAGCTGTGTAATGTCCTATTTAAGTTATGCCTCAAATTATTTTCACTTGTTGTGAGGCAATTGCTGAAGGGAAAAGCTAACAAAATAATTTCTTTTATATTAATTAAATTATTTAATTGTGAAAAATATTGTATTAAATCTTTTTTGTTACATTTTCCTCTTCTGCCAATTAAAATTATTAATGTAGTGTCTTTGTCAAACTTAGTTGACAAAATACTATCTAATATTTTACAGTATGTTGCACCTGGCATGCAAATATTTGTTAATTTTAATCCTAGGTGGTTAAGTTGCAAACCTATATTTTTACCCATTTCATCACTATACATAACTATATTATTTTGAATTTCATTTGATCTAGTTATTGACAAAGAGGTATTTTTTGATTCTAAACTAGATTCCTGCAACAACAATGAGGAGGGATTAGTGACACACACAGACAGGGAGGATTGTGGTTTTATTTCTTTGCAATTGCAAACTTGATTATTTGTTAAAGAGTCAAATCTGTCATTATTATATCTACACAAATCTAATAAATTATCCATAGCATGTGTGTGCTCCTTAATCTCCTGTTGCGCAGTTTCATATTTCTGTGTTATTAATTTTAATGAATTTGTTACACTATGTAATTCTGCCTGGAGGCGCTGTGTGTCACATTCATAGCTAAGCCTATTTTTCTCAAGATTTTGTGTACAATCACTCAATTCATTCAACAAACTCTGACGTTCTTTTCTTAATGATACATTTTTACAAAATGCTGCATTTTTCTTTATTAATTTATTTGTACTGGATATGTATTTATTAATTTTGACATACTTTTTTAATTTTTTTTTACTACAATTTAAAGCTAAAGCTGTTGAATTAAATGAGTTACTTTCACAAGTCAGATCAGTGGTGATTGGTTCTGAACAGGAGGGTGGTACAGCACAGACCATTGTGGGAGCACTGCTGATCAGCTCATCAAATAGGGACTGCGACTGTGTTGACTGTTGTTCGTCCCTTGCTTGTTCCATTATAGTTATTTGATTGTATGCGTCTCGTAGGTCACATTCTAATGAAGAAATGCGTGCAAGGGCTTCTTCGAATGCGCTGCTGCTTTGGTCGAATCCATCTACCACAATCTGTAGCTGGTCTCTTTGGTACTGTACCTCCGTAATTTGTATAAGCAATTCAGCCATATCACTTTTTAATTGCCTATTCCTATCTAAAATGTCCAATATTTCCTTTTCACTATCGTTTCTTTCTGTTAGCAATTGCTCATTCAGTGCCTTTGCTGTTTTGAGTTCTAATAAAGCTTGTTGGAGTTTATCCTCCAATTGACGTTCCGCAGCAGCTTTGCGTGTAAACATTGTGTATGCTTTTGAAAAAGAAAATGAAAACAATTTGAAAGAACGTTAGCAAGAAAGACAGCTGATCGAGCGATTACTAAATAGTGAGGTTGTGTTACTTACAATTTATCCGTACAAAGACTAAATATTAGACAAAATAACCACTCTTCAGTTATATTATAAGTTTAACTACCTATTTATCTTAATAATTATGGAAATACTTACGAAAGAGCACAGAATTTTTAAAAACAAATTCGTAACGGCTATCTTTCCAAAGTGACTAGAAAATGCTCAAATTACCTTTAACCTCGATAATTACTGTTGCAGTTGTGTAACAATGAACTTAATTGATAAATGTGATTTGCAAACACTGATATTATCTCACATAAGACACTTTTTGAAAAGTATTAGGCCGGTTAACCTGACTGTTTTCAACGTCACTTTGTTTACTTACTCAACCTGATCAAATCACTATGTATGCACTTAAAAACTGTATAAGTATATTTTGTAATGATATTATTCAGCAATGAAATGGGGTTTTACAAGAATAACACGATAAAAACAATTAAATTTAAAATAAAATTACGGAACACTTAAGTTTACAACTTAACCGCTGTGTTGCCGTTCACCGTCATATTCCACGTCTTGGCTCCGTAAGTCACGACCGTAAGGTAGGACGCATTGGTTGTAAACCTTGGTCTTTAGGCACTGTGGGAGTGGTGACGAGAAGACATGACGCAGTTTCCCAAATGCTGCCCAACCCAGCTGCACTCTCCTAGCTATTTCAAGGTCAAAATTGTCTCTGCCTAGTTGCAGGGTTTGCCCGAGGTAGACATATTCTCGGACAACTTCGAACGTTTCACCATTAATCGAAATCGGCTCCAGGATGACGAGCTCATTGAACAAGACCTTAGTCTTGTCCAAATTCATCCGAAGACCGACCGATAATGAGGCAGCGTTAAGGCTGTTCCACATTTTCTGCACATCCTGCAGCTCTTTGGACGTCTGTATAACTTGCGGAACAGTGTGTATGTGGTCCATGGTGCTATAGCCTTTTCAAAACCTTGCCTGTTCCGGTGGCTGGAAAGCGTTAAATCTTCCGTCGATATGATTTGTGAGAACTCTCGAAAACAGCTTACAGACGTGGCTCAGGAGCGCGATAGGTCTGTAGTTCTTCAAGAGGGTTTTGTCTCCTTTCTTGAAAAACAATGCTTCCACGCTTCTGCTCCACGCCTCCGGGGTAGTCCCGTTGGCTATGACGGCGTTGAATAGCTCCTTGAGCTTTCTGAGCACTGGGTCTCCTCCTGCCCTGGGAAGCTCAGAGGTTGTTCCGTCTTCGCTGGGAGCCTTCCCATTATTAAGCTGTTTAAGAGCCATCCCAATTTCATCTTCGTCCACTTCTGGCAGATCGTCTGTGAAGTGGCGTGAAAGTGTGGCTCTTGGGTCGTTCACGAGGGTGGTGGCTTTGGAGCATATAGACTGCTGTAAAAATCCTCGACTTATGCGAGAATTTCTGGAACTGATGCCACAGTTTTACCGTCCGAGGTATTTAGCTTCGTCAGTTGACATCTACCCAGTCTTTTTGTAAAGACTTTCGACCCCCGATTCCTCTCAATAGCTTCTAGTATGAGTTGCGTATTGAAGCTACGAAGGTCGCGTCTCACCGACTTGCGGATGGTTTTGTTGAGTAGGCTCTGGTGAAGATTCCTCTGGCATCTTGCGTCGTGTCCTCATCAATTCCAAAGTCTCAGTCAAGAGTTTGGACTTTCGGGCTCCTCGCTGTATTCTGAAGTGCCCTATTCCCTCTTCGCGAATTACTCCTACCACACCTTCAGGGTCCTTGTCAACATTTACCGTGGTTTCCAGCAAAGCGAAGCGATTGCTCAGTTCTAACTGGAACGCTTCGGAGCCATGCATGATTTGGAGCAACGTTGGACGTGTAAGAGATCTCATCATACGGCTTCTCTCGACCGTAAACTCGATATTTAGGGTACCTCTTACGAGTCTGTGATCGCTACCGGCATTGAACCTATTGACCACTGAGATATCCCTAAATATCGCTTCTTGTTTACGCTTCTTGTCCGTCAAGATGAAGTCGATCTCGTTTTTCGTCATACCATTGGGGCTTTGCCAGGTCCACTTCCTATGGGGCTTCTTCGTAAAGAAAGTGTTCATGCCGAACAGCCCCTGCATGTCCAGGAAGTTTACCAGCATTTGCCCCCTTGGGTTTCGCCGTCCAATGCCGTGTTGTCCGATGCACGATTCCTCGCATTCGCGCACTCCCACTATGTCACTGTAGTCCCCCATAACAACAGTGAAGTAGGTCTTGGTGGTGTTGTGTAGAGCCTTTCCCACGTCTTCGTACACGTCTTCGAACTCACTGTCCGAACATGTCGACGTCGGCGTATACACCTGTACAACCTTGAGAGAATATCTCTCGGTTAGCTTCAGGACAAGGTACGCTACTCTGGTCGATACACTGAGCACCTCCAGCACGTTGTCACTGGAACTTTGTTGACAAGGAATCCTACGCCTCCTTGGGGTAGTTGGTCGCCCTCTTGAAAGTAGAACAGGCGATTCTGGAGTAGTGTGTGCTCCCCCTGTCTTCGAATTTCAGTCAACCCTATCACATACCACCTTATTTTATCTAGTTCCACCTCGAGTTGCATCAAACTTTCGTCCAGCCGCAGACTGCGTCCGTTATACGTTGTCAAGGTCAGTTTGTGGCAGCCTTCCGTAACCCGGAGATTCTTTGCACCCCCTGTCTTACCGTTACCGAGACCGCTGGCTTGGCCTGGAATGGTAAGACGGCCTGGGGGCCGCCTCTTCTTTGGCTTTGACATTTTGGGGGTTAATAATACTCACCACGCTGGGCAAACGGGTTGGTGAGCGCAGAGCCGAGTCTCGCGTCAACAGCGCTGCTGCCCGCCGCTGACCAGGGTACGTAGGACTCGGCCAGTAGATGGATATACCGCCATCGGTTTCGGTCGCCAGAGCCTCGTTCGTTTGTCAGCAGGGTGCACCACGTGCAAGTGAGGATGACTTTTGGTACATTAAGTTGATGTTTTGCCCCCACACACCCACATTATTTATTATATTGGTTTTCACCTCCGCTATATATATATCATATATAGCTGATATATCATCAGATTTTGTAAACAATGATTTAGTATATGGAGTGTCTGCTCCTTACAAGTAATAAATGTACTGGAGTTTGGCTAGCCTACGTACCACCACGTACCTCCAGGTTAACAGTCGAATACTGGCTGGCCCCTTCCACACCCGCACATGTGACTTATGCGCTCGAGACAAATCGTAGACAATCCGCCTACACTACAATATCTATACAGAAAAAAGGGTTAAGGTAAAGATACTCAACAAAATACAACGTTTTAAAGTACATAGCACTAATTGAGAACTTGTATATTAAGTTAATAAACTTAGACAGAACTTCTAGCAGTAAACTTAAAAGAAGCTGTTGTACAGAAATAATAGGCTTAAGGGGACGGATCAGCAATTGGGCGTATCAGCTTAAACTGGTCATATCCTTGATTTATTAAAAGTACCAATTTATAATGAAACGACCGGCGTTCAGCTTCACGCCGCGGACGCCATTACTTCCTTGATATATTTAACGCCTTAATGGGGACTCATCGTACAAGCAACGACTCAGTGGGTTGAATAAACTAGTATTACCATCTCCGGCATTAAATTCCACTTCAGTGTTTTTCGACATAAAAGCTTTTAATATATCTAGACCTGGCGTCTGATCTCCATTCAGCCATAAAAGTGACTTTACTAGAGCGCTGTCTATGAATTAATCGGTCTTAACTGACGTTTAGCCGCTCACGCGATACATGCAGCCGTACACGCATACCACACCTAGAGGTGCCGGTGATAATTTTGTACCGATTTATCGGATATCGAAGTTATAACCGGTAAAAGAACTAATATTAATTGCTATTTCGGTAACTACTCTAGCAAACCATCAAGTTTTTAATGCCTGGGTCTGTCATTTAAAAAAATAAACAACTTCAAAAATACGTCACGACAATCGTGTGTGTTATTGTTTGGGCTGGTGATTTCGGTGATTATTTATTGAAAACATACCGTAAGTAGCGTTTTTTAAGTTTACCCTGAATATAAATGTTTATAAACTATACTTTAAGGAGTAATTTCATGGTAAACGTTAGAACCACTCATACGGAATATTATCATATTTATCCAAGTACATCAAAAATTTCGTTAGTGCTTTTTAAGTGCGGGATTTGCGGTGTTTTACTGCATTTTATTTGAGATGTTTTTGTTGATACTACGGAGGGTATTTATTTAGCAATGCAGAATAATTAATTTTGTTTATAAAAACTTGTATTTAAACTGAATGCTTTTCTAATTTGCGAAACCAAATAGCCGCCATTTTGCGGTAGGAGAAGCGCATCGCCTGAGCGGATAAGGGCTATAACCTAAGCCAAAGTGACTGCGATGTTCTAATACAGCAAGACCTACGGGACGGACTGCACGGACGGTTGCACCACAAGAACACCGACTTGTAACCTAAGTAATGAATTTACGATAATAATATATTTAATATATGTAATCCCAAAAATAACTACCGAAACACCGAAAATCGAAAACTTTAAAGTTAAAACTTCGATATCCGATAAATCGGTATAAAATTATCATCGGCACCTCTAGGTGTGGTATGCGTCTACGGCTGCATGTATCGCGTGAGCGGTTATATTAATAAATTAACGAAAACAGTTTTCTGCGAGACATCGCCGTGGAAGCTTGTGATAAAGGACCATGGACTTATTCAGAAAAAGTCGAGCAAAAATTCGACTTAAATACGTGAGTTGTCCGTTACTTTAGTACACGAAGGATCATCAAACGAAGACGTTCACTGGTATAATCATTTCCAAAAACACTAGCACGCTTTATCAATTAAGCTACCTAACAACTGTCGTAGGTTTAATTGATACATCAAGCAAATTAATTGCTGTCTGTCATTACGGGCGGGCTCATTTCGCTGAACAGACGAAGTGAAGTTGACTGAGCGAAAAATATGTTAATGATTTACCCTTAAATAAGACCATTTAGACCTTTTAAGTAATTATACCAAGAGATGGACCGTACACAATTAATTCAACCTGCCTCTTCTGACTTCGTCGTAACCGGGTAAAAAGTATGGATAATTGTTTGGTAATGCAAATTTTTGGAGTCTACGGACAGTGACCATTTTATGGGTACCTTTCTTGGTAATCAAAATTTAGAAATAATAATTTGGTTTCGAATGGTGAAATATGAGAAAAAAATCTATTAACAATTATTAAACAAAGATCGAACTCTTACAAAAAAATATTTTACTTTCTGTTTTATAATTATAATAAAAAATGGAGAAATTGCATAATAAATAATTTGATGTCATGGGGGTGAAAAATCAATAAATTTAACTACAATTATTAAAGTGACATCTCTAGCCTTAGAGCATTGCTCTAAGTCTCTAGCCAGGGACTGGTAGCTGTAAAGGTACGTACCTCACTGAGTGAAGAAAAAACTTTCATAGATTTCTCACAGATGGCGCTACGGCAAAAAAATCGTTTAAAAACCAAAAACAAAGATCTGCAGCAAACACGTGGAGAAATCCGTGAGATCAATGGACCAACGGCACGGTTTGCTGGGAGACGTAGGTTCGAATCCAATTGGATTGAAGTGATTTTTTTGTAAATGTTCGATCATTATTTAATAATTATAGTGAATGAATAATAATTATACAGCTATCCATTTATTTTATTTATTTATTTTATCAACACAATTGTGATCCAATTAATATTAGTAGGTACAGTCTTAAAACTATATTAGTTCTTAAATTTTACTTTGTAGTCTATATTAACTGCCGCATCACTGAGCCGTCAATCCTTCCACCAATTGTCTTAAGGGCTAAGCTAATCTGACACGTATTCTGTTCAGTAGCGACAGTCATGACACTGCCCACTCGCGCATTTGCAAACATGGCTGAGGTGCTGCAGAAACGTGACTTCCCCAACAGCGTTCTAAAGGCATTGTTGTATTGCACGCGCAGAGCATCCAGTGAGCCCTGAGAGTACCTCGCCCACGGGGCGCCAGCGTACAGTGGTGTGCTGTACGCTCTAAAGCGCGTTGCCTTCACTGCAGCAGTACATCTGACGAACCTGCGGGCTTTATAAAAGAAAATATTTATTTATTGGTTTCATTCAGTAACTTTTTGAACTTTCAAATCGTATCTTGAGTTACGACAGTATTTGATTTCATGTTCGAAATGTGAAGAAAAATCGATTTACAACGAGTAAGTTCATTCTAATTTTTCTCCGTAGAATCTGTGTCACGAATGAAGAGTATTTTATTAATTTGACATTTCAAGCATAATTTTGCCAAAAATCTGTGTAAGTCCAGACCGTAATTATGTCCCTATTATGAGATTTAATACTGTAATCGAGGATTCAAAGTTAGGGCGAAAAATATGTAAATGATTTGTGGATCAGATGCAGAGTAAGCGTATCTCTGAAATTAAACCTTTATTTGGCATATACGATGGCTAACAAAGTTACTCGAAAAACACATTTCAAAAAAGGAGGAGGTTCTTTTTTTACTCTGGCATTTGTGAACCGATTTGATGATTATTTTTTATAGGAAAGAGATTACCTCAGTATTCCCATTTGAATTTAAAAAAATTCCACCACTAAGAGTGGCAAACTAGGTGATGAATCCGGTTTTGCTCACTTTCCGATAACCGACTTCAATAAAACTTGCCAAATAGATGTAATTCCACGAAATTTTAAGGTCGGTTCAATGAAGGAGTGAGAATAGAAACCGAAATTGAAGCGTGGAAAAGATAACTAGGTCCTAACAAGAGAGCGACAGGGCTTATCCTGTTTCCCTTGGCAGTTAGCGAGAATTATTACTCCTAAACATTCATGAAAGTACGCAACTTAGAAATGAAAGTCATAGGTAAATTCGTCCGCAGGGACTCAAACCGTCGACCTCTTAAAATAAGAAGCTACCGTTCTCATGGGTTACTACGCTTGTTTAAAAGTTGTAAGTAAAGGTCATTGGGCACTATTGTGTGGAACATTTACTCAAGGTGTAAACATGAAATGGGGTGCAATAAACAGCTAAATAACTATACTTTACAACGCAAGAGGTCGCCATCGAGTATACAACCAGAAATAGAGACGAATTAAAGGCCATCCATCACTGGTAACTCATCAGACAAATGGGCCTTATATCACTTTTAAATATCAACTCTCATTTGCACTGCAATCACAAAAATTAGAAAGCTGAAATAGTACAGCGCTAACAATTGACCTGTGTGCACGTCACCGTGTATTCCAAAAATATTCTGTATATATTGTAATAAAGATAATATCTCTAAGAATGGGGGAATGTTCCATTCGGTGGTGTGGAAAAAACAGCAAAACATCTAATTACACAACAAACGGAATCACATTTCATCGATAATTGAATATTAAATATGTAATTTTTCAATGTTTGTCCATTATAGCAAAGCTTAAATTAAACTGGTCAATTTGAAGTTAAAGAATTGACGACACCCGTCAATTGTTTCGAATTCGGGCTGGCCAATCAGAGCGCAGTTGTCAACGTAATGATTTGGCAAAATAGTTTCCAAACAAATTACATGACAATTCGTTTTTATTTCTAGTTGTATACCGATAGAAGTCGCGTACTTGCTGTGATTGGGATACACAAAAATACGCATATTAAGTCATCTGTTTGTTAAACCATATTCGTATAAACTGAATGAAATGAAACTAAAACCGTGTTACAATTGGCCACATAGTCATTTCCT